GATTTTTATTTGGGAATTGGGGGATGGGAACAGCGCTGGGGAATTGGGGGAAGGGGAACAGACAAGTTGCTGTTCTTTTGTTCTTCAGTCTAGTTGTGGAAGACGTTGCTTCACTGGCCCAAGTATTGTGCTCTTCCCGGGAGAGGCAGATCAGTCGCTGGCTTCTGGACGGCCGCTCACAGCAGCTGCTGGCCACTCACACTGGCTGCTGGTTACAAACGGTAACCCATGGCAACCCACTGCAGCAGGGGCTGTAGCCTAGCGGTCGCTGGCGACTCACGGCAGCACAGCTCCAGGTTGAGCTGTTGTTCAGCATCTTAGCTTTGGAGGGTATATGTCACTGGCCCTCATATGTGGGATCCCAACGGTGGCCCTCTGGCCTCCCAAGCCAGCTCTTAACCAATGCACCGGCCCCGGCCCATCTTTTACAATTTTAAAATGCACATATCTTTCAGCAAATTTTCATCCCACAGCTACACCGGCACATCATATGCTCAAGGACACACACAAAGGATAGGCACTGTAGTTGTGTAATGAACAACATGATGTCCTTTAATAGTTGCAATATAATAAATAACACATATATATTACAACAATAGGATGACTCCTATGCAGCCATTGAAAAGATTAGGCAGATCTAGTTGTACTAAAATGACCTCCAAAATGTACTGTTGAGTGAAAAGAGCAAATTGTGTGTAAGTGTGCTACCATTTGTGTAAACACAAAATGAGGGAGGGAAATCTATAGGTACCTATGTGCTTACATATTCGTAGAACAGGGAAGAATACCCAAGAAACTTTAACAAAAATTGCCTCTGGGGTGGAAATCTGAGCAACTGAGGTGGGAAGGAGACTTACTTTTTTCACACTTTTTTTTTTTACATATACAGTTTGTAATTTTACCATGTGTATATATTATTTAAAATATAGGGTATAAATAAATAAGTACAGCTCACAGAGTGATTCTGATCTACAGCCTGTTCAAGGCCCACTAGCATAAACTAGTGCTTCTTAGATTTTAATGTGTTCTCCAATCATCAGAGGATCTTGTTAAAAATGCAGATTCACATTATGCTAAGTGAAATAAGTCAGTCGGAGAAAGACAAATACCATATGATCTCACTTACATGTGGAATCTAAAGAACTGAATGAACGAGCAAAGNCCAACCCTGTTAGGCCACGTTTTCTCCAAGAATAAAACAAAAGCTCCCTAGGGTATTGAGAAGCCAGGGGCGGGAAGTCTATGCTTGGCACAGTGGAAAAGCTAACTGGCCATGAATAAATATCCTCATTATGTGGACTGCTGCCCCATGGATTAGACCTGAGCATCTCTGCCCCACCCTCTATTAACCTGAGCTCATCTAGCATTCAGAGGTGCAGGGATTGGCCAGGTGGGGCAGGAGTAAATGGAAAATAACGCTTTTGCTCAGAGACAGATTACACATTGAGGAGGCACTTTTTCCAGGATTCATATGGATTCATAAGCCGCTAAGTGTTTATAACTGAACAGGCAGGAACTAAGAGTCTGGCATCTCAACTCAACAGGGCTGCATCACAATTCCTTTTGTGAATGGCAGAGATTTCACCCCATTGTTAGAGAGTCGTTGACTTACCTTGGCAACCTGGGGGTTTCTATCCTGTAAATGGATCAGGAGGGAATCTTGAGTCTGCTTAACCTGGCTGGTGAAAAACTTCTTCCATTTCCGCCCAGCAAAAGCAGCCAATTGCCCAAACAAGACAAAGGCTGAGTATCTCAGGCTGTCATCCTCCTGTGGGTCCCCAGTGAACAAAACAACAAAATGCAGGTCATTACCAAAAGGCAACTGCATCAGAGAAAAATCACAGCCATCACTCTTTCTTGCATGTTACAGGGTGGGCTCTCAGATCCAGTCTAAAGCACTTAGTTGGCTGGGGTGGGGTATGGGCTGAGTCTTCAAGGAACCTCTTTCTCTACCAGATGATAGGATTAGACTTGGCGATCAGTATAGTGCTTCTCCCAGCTTCCCACCTTTTTTCTTCATTATTCAATGTTTTGGAAATAGAATATATTTCTATGATTCAAAATTCAAAATAACCAAATTTCTGGTCAAGATGGCAGAGTAGGTAAGTGCTGTGCTTGTGTCCTCACAACCACATCAGAATTACAACTGAACTACAGGACAACTATCACTGGCTCTGTGAACTAACTTCTCTGTGCCTTGGTTTCTTCAGCTATAAAGTGAAGATCATAATAGTGCCAACCTCACAGGGTTACTGTGAAGATTATATGAGATAATCCATGTAAACTGCCTAGTACCATGCCTGGCACACAGCAAATGCTCACTAGATGCTATCGTTATTGTTACATTTATAAAAGAGCATTGAATCCTTACTGGTATTGTCACCATCACCACCACCACCACCACCATTGTCATCGTCATCATCATCATCATCGTACACATATTTGCTTCTCTAAAACTTAAGGGGTAGTTTTGGAATCCTATTCTTCTTCATGTCTTCCATAACACTCAGTACAGTGCTAGTCTCTCAATGAGATTTGTTAACAAATAAGTGAATAATACAGATCTTGTTCCCTGAGCCACACACCACCCAAGGCCCACGTTTCTAACCCCACTTTGATTTTCATCACCCACAATGTTTCTGAGTTGTCTCACTTACATCATCTAATAGGGTCCTGGTCTGAAGAGTGATGTCTATGAAGAAGGAGCCCAAACCTTTCGCCTGGGTCTTGCCCAGGATGATGGTCAGAGTCTTCACACTCTCGTGGATGACTTCAGAACTCATGGGGTCATACAGTCCATGCACCAGCAGGTCTAGGACAATTCTCTTATATTTTCTTACCTGTTTTCAAGGTTTGAAAAGCGTTAGTAGTAGCACAGATATTGCTCCCCATGAGTTGAAAAGCAACTCCACTTCTAATGGTCCAATAACCTAGGACTTGAACTAAGAGATTATGGCTTTCTTCAAGGCCTGCCACAACAACTCTTATCAAAATACAAATGCTTCCCAAACTGACCCAAGTCAGTCTTAGAAAGTGAGCAGGAAGAGTGACCTATGGATGGCCAAGGCTGAGAGGACATGTTGAGGAGGGTGGTAGACCTGGGTGATCTAGGTTTCTAGGGCATTCTGGGTCCTTTTATAGGGGACAAGAGGAAACGGTCACTGGAATTGACAGATGCTAAAGGAGGAGGTGGGGAAAACATCTTTTACTAAGCAAGCATAAATTATTAGAAAATAAATTGAATTCACCAGAGGTATGTGAATCCTGCCTGCAGCTCTGTTTCCCAAGGCTGATGACCCTAAAATAACCCCAAGTGAGTCATGCCCTTGTACAGTTTCCTTCCCTTGAGTGTGGGAGGAACGAGTGACTTGCTTCTAGCCCACTGAATATGACAATGGTCATAGGATGTCGTTCCCATGGTTACTAATGTTATATAAGACTCCATCTGGGGCCGGCCGAGTGGCTCAGTCGGTTAAGAGTTAGCTTAAGAGCACGAGCAGAGAAACAGGGCCACCGGTTCGATTCCCACATGGGCCAGTGATGCAGTGCCCAAGCTGAGCTACCGCTGAGCTGCCAACAGGTGGCAGGATGGCTCAGCTGGTGAGAGCACGTGCTCCTAACAAGACTGCCTGTTCCATGGTGGGCTATGCCCACCCTCAACTAAGACTGAACTGGGCACCTTGAGCTGAGCTGCCAACCTGGATGGCTCAGTGGATAGAGCATATGTTCTTAATAAATAGGCTGCCAGTTAGACTCCCGCATGGGATGGTGGCTATGCCGACCCGCAACTAAGATTGAAACACAGCACCTTGAGCTTAGAGGCCACAAGCTGCTGACGGGCAGCCAGATGGTGACTGGCACCCTGCACAACTAAGATTGAAGAACAACAACTTGTCTGGTCCCCCTTCCCTATTCCCCAACACTGTTCCCTCCCCCAATTCCCCAATTAAAAAAAAAAATCCCCAATTAAAAAAAAAAAAAGACTCCATCTTAGCAGAGAGGAGTAGGTAACATGCTCCTGCTGGCCTTGAAGAAGCAAGCTACCATGTTGTGAGTCGGTGTCCTCTGGAACCTCAGGGTGGCCCCTGGCTGACAGCCAGCAAGGACACCATGGTCCTACAGCTGGAAGGAACTGAATTCTTCCAACAGCCACTTAAGCTTGGAACCCTAAGCTTCAGAAAGGAATGCAGTCTGGCCCACACCTTGATTGCAGCCTTGCGAGACCCTGAACAGAGGACCCAGTTAAGCTGTAGCTGGACTCCTGACCCAAGGAAACTGCAAGCTAACAAATGCTAGGTATGTGGTGATCTGTGACACAGCAAAAGATAACTAGTACATGAGGTACTGTATCCCAGTCCTGGGGCCTCCACGCCATGAGGGCTGGCCGAGCGCCACTTTTCCTTCCTACCTTGTCTGGGGTCTCACAAGCCATGGTTCCCAGGCCTCTCATTGCCATGTGACGCTTTTTAGCACTGGGGTCCCGGGCTCTTTCTGCCAAGATGAAAAACACGTTCTTCAGAGGCTCCCGCTTCTGGAACCTCAGTTTCCAAGAGACCTGGGTGGTGAGTCAAAATGTGTTGATTTGGGAGTGTTCAGAGTCATACTCAACCCCAACCCCAATCCCTCCTGTGTTGCCTGCTCAATTTCACCCCTCTTTCTCCATCTAAATACACCTGATTTTTTTTGCTGGAAATACATTAGTTTAATCTACATAATGAAGAAATTGGTGGAGGACGAGGAAAGGGGTAAAGAAAAATAAGGCAGAGCTGGTGTTGAGGTAGGTTTGGGGGGATTATGGAGAGAGCTGCTCTCGGGCAGCTGAGGCTGTGATAGAGCTGAGAACAAAGCGGGCCTTAGAGAAGGTGATGTGAGCTGAGAATACAGAGCCCTTTCACAGGACAGAGTTCACTGTATTCCTCCCATCTCAGAGAAAATAACATCCTGGATCCTTCTTCCTCCTTCAGCTCTTCTCCAGTTTTCTGCTCTACTTTGTGGCTCAACACCTTGAAAGACATGTCTATACTTGCTTTCTGCATTTCCTCCCCTCCATTCTCTCGTGAGCCTTCTGCAATCAGGTTGATGTCCCCCACCCCCAGTATGGCTACATCCAAGGGTCAGTGCTCAGTACTTATCTTACTCAGCCTCTCAATGGCATTTGATAATTTGATACATTAGCAAAACACATCTACAAACATCTCAGGGCACCAGAAGGATGCCCCACCCCGGAATGCAAGCATCTCAGCACTTAGGATGAGGAAAAGAAATGCATAAATAATGCAGGTTGGGAAATGCTGTGTGGCTAATGCAGAAACTCTAAGTAAGTGCAGCACGAGCGATGGGCTACCCTCTGTGGTGAGCATAGAAGCCCTGATACCAGGAAGGCTCTGGTGTCCTGCACCACACAGGTTGTAGCAACATGTACTGGAGTCGGAACCAAGGTGATGCACAATGCAGACAAGATCCAAGAGAAAGCCACCTCTCCACCAGCCTGAGTAATAGGGTGGAGTGGCGGACTGGAGACTAGATTCACAGCCCTATTGGTGTTTAGGTGATTACCAAGTCTTGTCATTATTTCAGAATATTCATTGCAATTCAGTCTATATTTTTAGTATAATTTCACAGCAACCTAAATTTGTCTTAACTTGTTATTATCTTCTTGTTATTCTATAAGCATTCTATCCATGTTAAAAGAACTGTCATTGAACTTATTTTCAGAAGAAGGACCCTCGCAGGAATCTGCCTAACGCAGAACAGGCAAGCACATGATATAAAGCGGCAGCTGGCAAGGGACCTCCATTCATAATATTTTGTGGCAGACCTTGGAAAAGAAAGACATCACAGATATCCTTTTCTTCTTGGGCTGGGTGGTGGGGATGGAGAGGGGCTGGCCCAGCATTCTTCTCTGTGTTTGGTCCATGGAACTAAAAAACAAAAACAAAATCATCAAATAAGCCAACCACACTCTTGGAAGTCTCATCACCTAACAAGCATCAAGCATTGTTATACAAAGCACTGTGCTGGTTAAGAATATAAAGAAACACCAGCCCTGAGGCCTTTGCTTAGGAACCTGTCACCTTGGTGAGAAGATGGAACAGTCCCATACAAAGATAAAGAGCAATTCCAGGCAACCCCAAGAGGGGTCAAGACTGCCGTGGTTCCTGTTCCATCCTACTGTCTTCTTGTATCAGAATCACCGAAGAAATGAAACAGATTCTGGGCCCCACCCACAGTGAGCTGAAGTAAAAAGTAGCCTGAAATTTTGGATTTTTAAAAAATGCTCAGGCTGGCAGAGTGGCGCGTTGGTTAACAGCTGGTGTGGGATTCCAGCTCTGAGCAGCAGGGCCCCGGTTTGGATTCCACATGAGGGCCAGTGACACTGCACCCTCTACAGCTAAGATGGTGAACAACAGCTCAACCTGGAGCTGGGCTGCCGTGAGTGGCGTAGGCTGCATCCCCTGCTGCAGTGGGTTGCCATACGCTACCGTGTATGGCCGGCAGCCAACGTGAGCTGCTGGCATCCGGTGTGAGCTGCCAAGAGCCGCTGTGAGCAACCGTCCAGAGGCTGGCGACCAATCTGCCTCATCCAGGAAGAGTACAATGGTAATACCAACATGGGCCAGTGAAGCAACGTCCTCCACAACTAGACTGAAGAACAAAAGGACAGCAACTTGTCTGTTTCCCTTCCCCCAATTCCCTAATAAAATCTTTTTAAAAATAAAACATAAAAAAATAAAAGTAAAAAATGCTCCCCAAGGATGTAAATTGGTACTGCATTTTAGAGGGGATTCTGATATTATCTCTTACAATTTTGAGAGACTTTTTTTTTTAGCTGAGCCATCCTGCCACCTGTTGGCAGCTCAGCGGCAGCTCAGCTCAGGCAGGACTTGTACCACTGTTGTTCAGAGCTCGCACTCTTGAGAGAGCTCTTAACCAACTGAGTCACTCAGCCAGCCCATCTTTTTTTTAAAGATTTTTATTTGGGAATTGGGGGATGGGAACAGCGCTGGGGAATTGGGGGAAGGGGAACAGACAAGTTGCTGTTCTTTTGTTCTTCA